TGGGCTTGTTTGTTTATTTAGAATTTAATAATGAGTTATACCATTTCCCCTCCCCTCCTTTTCTCCAGCTCCTCCCGAGCCACACACCTGCACCCCCTCTCAAGTTTATGGCCTCTTTTTCATTATTATTGTTACATAAATACATTCATAAATAAAACCTACTGAGTCCATTTAGTGTGGCTCATACCTATATGATTTTAGGGCTGAGCACTTGGTGTTAGGAAAAAAACATAATAGAAAAGACCCAAGGCATGGACTTTCATGCAGACATGTTTTCTATCTGTTTTCCCACTAAGTTTTTCCTTCTGGGCCAGAATAATAGAGATGTGTCAGAATGTTTCTTTAAGAGCATGGAGAACAGAAATCTGAAGAATGAGTCTGAGGCTGAAGAGTCAGTTGAGGTCAGGGGGATAATGACCAGGGCAAGGCTACATTGACTGGGCTGGCTTGCCGGCCAGCATGGCCAGTGGTCAACAAGATCAGAAGAAAGATTCGACTTGATAGATAAGGGAATCTAGACTAAAAAGTTTCAGTATGCCTGGAAAGTGACCAGTGCAATGGGCCAGGGACAGCTTGGGATATGACCAGTAAGACCATAGTTCCTGTGGCCATTGAACCAAATGGAAATGTTTAGTCTAGCTCAGGTACTTAGCAAACATGCAAAATCTCACACTCAGGTGGGGTGTGTTGGCCACACCTTTACATCAGAAGGCAGAGCCAGGCATATCCCTATGAGTTCAGAGTCAGTTTGATCTACATAGAGAATTCTCCACCAGCCAGGGCTACATACTGAGACCATACCCCAAAACGTATACCCCATCTCTGGCCTGTAAAATTCCAAGGGTGGTTGATCTAGAAGAGTTTGAAAGCTCACACCTGATACCTATATACCTTAAAGTTGGCGAACAACTGTCTGAAAGAGTTGGGTATCCTGAGACATGGTCTCATGAGCTTATACCAGTCTGTAACACGTGCACTGGGAAGCCAACAAAAGTTACAGTACAAAGGACAGTCATAAATTATCAAGTCCCTGCAGTTAACATAGCAAATGAGAAATAATAGAATGTATTGAGTATACAAATCACATTTGAAGCCTTTTAGAAGCAGGTTTTTCCTGACTAGAGAGAGACATAAAGCTATCTCTGTATCACCAATGAAATACAACACTCAAAGTTATGAAACTGCCAAAGGCTGAGGAGCAAGAGTAACAAGAGAGTTGGAGAGTGGTCAGCCTCTGTCAGCAAAGACAGCAGTTCCTGATGGACGGAGCCAAGACCCTTTAACTAATGGACAAACACCTCCGATGCCTCTCCAGCATGCCAGGCACAGGTCAGGTCGTAATGCCCACCCAGTGCATAACACACAACTCAGGTCAATAGCTACAGCAACACTTTTAAAAATGAAGCAGAGGATATATTATACAATATAATTACATATTATTGCGTATAGAAATAATTATGTAACACTACTTAATAAGTAATGATATGTTGAATTTATTTAAAGTGTTAATTGAATAGTCTATATAAAAATAAATACTCAAGATTTGAAAGAACAAAGTAACAGAAGATTTGAAAGATTGGAGCTTTAAAATTTTTTAAATGTATTCAGGCAGAAATCAAGTCTCACCCCTCCCTGCTGGCTAGCTTTCACCGTTTTGGAAGGTCTACATGTGCTACCAAAAGAAAAAAGTAAGCACCAGTTTTACCCAGCTTTGAACCACATGAGCTACAACAATCAGCCTAGTAAGACATGCCCACTGCTGCATAATGGCACAACAGTCGTGAGAGTAACCGACCACCTTCTGATTGTAAGGCCTGCTCCACAGGTTTAAAACCATATCAGACACCATTATTGAAGCCACCAAGAACTCGTGGCTAGACAGGTCCTTGGACACAGGAGAACCTACAGATGTTGTTACTTCACTAAATAGGCATAAGGTTAAACTGATTCCTAATGGCTTGTTGTTATACCCACAGATTAGTGCATCTCTCAACTCTCATCAGAAAAGCTATTTTTTTTTTGGTAGTAGATGGCAAATAACACAGAGACCCACAACTGGTCAAGGTACAGAGAAGAGGAGACTGTGGAACACTCGGCTCCAAATGAGACATCTCTATAACACCCCCTCTTCCCAAGGCTTACGGATCATTACAGGAAAGGTGGTGTGAAGATTGTAAGAGCCAGAGAAAGTAGATGACTATAAGGAAATAGTATTTTCCAGACACAGCAGGAAATGAACAGCCCATATGAACTCACAGTGCACAAAGGCTGTGCAAGCTCTAGCCAGACAAAATCTCAGCCTGGAGGAAGGGAGACAGAAACAAAGCACCACCCACAGCTTATTGGCAACTGATAACTGCCGGGAAAGGGAGAGTCGGTTTCTTTAAGGGTGCAGCCCCTGAAGGGTTGGCCGTGCTCCACAGAAGGGTACACATCCAAAAGTACAATGGGCAGCATCAACTGTTCTCGATGAGTTTAGAAAGAAAAAAGGAACAGAAAGGTTGGTAGGCAGGGTGATCTGGGAAGGGCTTTAGGGGAAGAATGGATACCATCAAAATACATGGTATGAAATTCTCAAAGCATTCACAAAAGTGAGAGAAAATGTGTTCAGTATACTTCATTGTCATTTGACACTTCAAAGTGTCAACTTTTCAATGATGCCTACTCTAACCCTAATTGCCTTGGCCACATAGGTGACACCCACATACACCTTCTGTTTTGCCCATTGTACATATCTTCTAACATACTATTTAGGTTGCATATTTTTTACATTTTTTTGAACCCCAGGAATGGTGGCTCCATAAGTTGAGGGTTATTATTATTTGCACTGTGGATTCCTGGCATTCTATAGTATCATCCCTGCACTCCTCAGTGAATATTTGTTGAAATGAATTACTGTTGTCACAGCAATATGACAAGAAAGCAATGTTTTACAGGGATTTTCCTTTAACGAGTGACATCAAACTAGCAACAGAGAATGTAGCATCAATAGTATGCGTACATCCTTGCATTTTCCCCACAACAAGAGAGTAACAGGAATTTCCCAATGTGTGACTTATCTTTCCTAGGTTTGTTTAAGGCCCTGTTGTAACTGTAGGCTCTCACAGCTGTAAACTTTCATAGGTTAGCAACAGAATTTTGCCTTTGAGTTGGTAATTAGCTAGCCAAAAAGTTCATAAACTGTTTTCTTTATAACTAGTTATAAACTTTCCTACTTCCTTATACAGGAAATTAAAGGTTGAAGCATTTTCTTTGGGCAAATCCTACTAAACGCAGCTTTTATAGAGCAGTGGAGAAACAAACACTTATTTTAACTGGCTTTTGCACAAAGCACTCAGAAAACCTTTGAAGCACTCCATAGTGGGCTGAGCCTTTTGAAGAGCAGATTGGAATATATTTAGAAAGAAATTCAAACATTCAGGTTGGCATGACAATAATGGGAAATAGATTGTCAGAAGTGTAGCCATCTTCTACACTATGGCAAGTAGGTACAACAGGTTCAAGGAAAAGAACAGGAGGTGCAAAGTCTTCCTGAGACAGCAGAAGTGAGAGGCTCCTCAGGGCAGTGGAAGCAGTTCATCATCGAAGCAAAGCTATTTCTCACCCCACCCCTCCAGGAATAGTAGACTGTGGCAATACTGTAGGAAATGGTCATTCCTCTAAGCAATGTTAAGGATATGAACTCCTTCAAACTGTGATGTTGCCTGTACCTAAGAGATCTGTACATTCAGGTCCAGTTGCCATGTTGACAGGCATGAGATATAGGACTAAGTTCAAGAACATCCATTCTGGGTACCAAGCCTGAAGACATGCAGGTCAGGTTGGGGCTAGTCTACAAGCTATCTGGCAGCTACAGATCTGAGACTTGAAAGAAATTATTATGCCTGAAAGAAATCAATTTTTGAGCAAAAGATCGCTGTATCAGAATTTAAAACCTGGAGTGAGGCCTCTGTAATATTGTCAGGCTAATGAAACCACTGCCTTCAGGAGCCATACAGCTCAGGTACTGGCAAAAGAAAAAAAGAAACCTGCTGTGCACAACTTGGAGAAATGTTTTTGTAGGTTAAACAGCAAAACTAAAATACTAAGCACCATTTCTTTCCTCTGAGGAAACAAACAAACAAACAAAAAAAAAAGGTCTTGCTTATAGTCACTAAATCAAGAGATCCCGCTGGATTCTTGCAAGTCATATATACTGCTTTTCGTCATGGTCCTAGTTTGGGGTATTATAATAATACTTTGAGTTCCAGAATGCACACTGCCTCCCTTCCTGGCACAGTGGTGCTGTATCTACCACAGAAGCATTTGAGTTGAGATGGAGCTGGGAATGTTTTTATTTGTGCAGAGGAAGACAGTGTTCTAAAGAAACCCTCAGTGAATGAAACAAGAATTTGGAGAAGGTTCAGCTGAGACCATTTGAGTACGCCAACTAGCCAGAAAACAATAGTGTTTTGTTTTCTTTTTGCTTTGCCCCTCCAATGTCTCAACATAAGCAAGGGGGAAAAACCGAACCTCTGTCAGAGTTTAATGGTGAACCACAAGTGGTTTCCCTGACATTTGAACACATACGATGTCATGCATAAATGAAATTTTCTCAGTGGCCTCTCCCAGCAATCCTATGATCTGGCCCGATGTCACCCCATTTTGTAAGAAAAGGAGGTGAGGCTTGCAAAGCTTAAGAAGCCATATTCAAGCCTAGACGGTCAAGAACTGGTGTGACTCCACAGTATTTCAGTGCAGAGGTCGTGTGTGGTAGCCAGCTAGCATCAGTGTGTTTTGAGTTATAATCCCCCTTAAGGCTGACAATTATGAGGCAGTCAGCAAGTGTCCCTTGTGGGACACTTTATGGAAACCAGCAGTAAGTCCAAGGCACTTACTTTTCTGTGAGCAGTAGACAATGGGAAACAGTACCTGAAAGGACATCCGCCCCGCCTCTCAGCATCTGCTTTTCAGGCACATGCCCTTGTATGTGCATGTATATGCTCTCTCCTCGTTTCTAGATTTTGATTGGAGCCGTCATCGCCATGGGCTCCGCCGACAGAGACGGCCGTCTACATCCAGGAGATGAGCTTGTCTATGTGGATGGGATCCCGGTGGCTGGCAAGACCCACCGCTACGTCATCGACCTTATGCACCACGCAGCCCGCAACGGGCAGGTGAACCTCACTGTGAGAAGAAAGGTGCTATGTGGAGGTACGTACTGAGGTGGGCGGCAAGAGTTGGGCGTGAGGCAGTGGGACGCTCCGGGGAGATGATGAGGAAGCAGAGCAAACTTAAAATTGGTTTCTGTGTTATGTGGGGAAAGAAACAAACTAGATGTTCTACAAGTAACTATTTTCCGAAATGGAGCTTTTCAACCCCACTAATCCAGCCTTTGAGGCCGACATTTTAAATGCAGTCATTAAAATTTCCTAGGAAGCCTGGGGCTGATTCAAGATGTGTCTGCTCTGTGCTCTTTGGTCCATGCTTGTTATGAGGAAAACATTATAATAATGGAAAATGTGCCTTTGAAAATGTTTCTCATTGTGTTTACAAACAAAAAAACTACAGCATTTTTATACTGTAATAAGGAAACCAGGATGGAAAATTAGCTTTCATTGTAGCGCCTGATAAAAGGTAACAATATGCCTACCACCCTATATGGGGAACTACAGCTCTCACACTGAGAAAACATAATTCATATAGCTGTAAGCTTATGAAACAGATAAATTAGAAGTAATTATTCCCTTTACAGCTATTTTCTTGGCTTCAAAAAGAATCCACCAAAGACATATATTTCAAAGTCAGCCCATATACTCATACTATTCTCTCACTGGCTTCCCCTCACTGTGAAGCCCCAGTGGATCGTTCTTTTCCAGGGGGTATGTCTACTGCCATCCCCACACTGGCTTTATAACCTCACACTGAGTGGTGTGGCATCACAGATCTTTTTCCTAAGACCTGACCATGCTTTGTCTTGTCAATCACAGAAGCAGCAACTCCAGTCGTGCCCCCTCACTCTCTGTCCCACAAACCCACTGGCCTATCTCCTCAGCCACCTGAACTCCCCCCCTGCAGACTCGATTCTAAAATTAGGAGTGAGCTTAGTCACACGAGCCCTTTGCATTACAGATAAGGAAACTGAGGCCCAAGGAATAATAGATTGCCTAATAGTCACAGTCAGTTAGTGACAATGCCAAGGTGGGCTCATCTCTGGTACCGGTCCTCATTTTTATGCTATTATCAGCTCCAAATTCCACCTCAAGACATTATGCCCATTCCCAGAGACAAACCAAAGACAGATCATTGATGAATGTCACTCCCTAGTTCTTCCATATGTATTCACATATAACATTGGAATTTTTTAAAAGGCCACCTGCTAATCACACACAGGCTGTGGGTGAATAGAAAGCATAAGATTTATTGCTTGGACTAAATATCGTTTTCTTTTTGAGTCCCATAGAAACTAGCCTTTGAGCAAGGGCAGTCATTTCAAACAGCAAATCAGACAAATCATCAGACTTCACCAGCAGAGACCACTATATATCTTGCACTGGATGGAGGTTTTGCTACAAGGTACCATCTGTCTTCCAAAATCCATGGCATACCACTTGACCCAAAGAAATAAAACACCTTGAATCATGCCTTCTCCTTGAGCGAGTGGCCAGGAGGGAGACAGTGCTTGCTTGGTTAACATCTAATTGCTTCTCTTCCCTACAGAGTGATTTTGAACAAAAAAAGTTTGCTGTGCTATATGTACTGTAACCTGAAGATAAATTAAAAAGATAACTGATTTATGAAGAAATACACTACAAAGTACAAATCCAGTATACCAACACAATTTCATGCTCTCCTTGCCACTAGCTGATTATTGCAAATTAAATTTTGTTCTAATCAACCCAAGTTGTTGGAGTACAGGCCAAATATTGCACAAAAGTACTCTTGCCATTTGTAGGTCATGTGACTTTTGTAAAGCAATCTTTGCTGCAGTTCTTACCAGCTTCTTTCTACCTGGCTTCTGAGTACATTTAATTCTTGATCATGTTCCACTACAGATTACTCGCAGTATGAGAGATTCCATGTTCATTCAGCCCAGACTCCTTGAAAGCACCACCAGTACTGAAAATTATTAAATTCAAGACAGGATGCTTTGAGGGTAAAATAAATGCCTAAAACCAGGGTAAAAGAAATCTACAAGGCATAAGAAAACAAACTTCCTCATAGCTGCCATTTCTTCAAAGTGATAAAGGACAATTCCAGATGGATGTGACAAGGGGGATGTCTTTTAAAGTTATGCTGCTGTTATTCTGCTCTGCGAAGCAAGGCAGTGGGAGGGGCAAGCCTGACTTAGATAGGATGGTCCAGAGCTAACGGAAATGAACAGTCAGCTTAGCAGAAACAAAGACACAGGAAGAGAAATTGTTGGTGCATTATCTCACAGCAGCACTGTTTGGAGCTTGGGGAGCTGGGGGATGGCACAGCCATAGAGATTACACCCCTCCCTCTTACCCTGGCCTTGGCTCGTGCAGATATACTGCTTCCTATGAGAAGGCAGGTCCTGGTTTCCAAACTGATGTATCAGAAAAAGAACACATGCACCATAGCATTCAGATAGGTTGACAACATTGGGCAAAAAGTAAAATGACACAAAAGCCTGCTCCAAATACTAAATTCTAAGAAACATGTGCACACTAAAAGTAGAAAGGCAGAACTTTTCAGCTATAGGCTAAATCATCAAAAATGGGAAATTGCTGAGTTAAGGAACAAGCAGTGTAGTAAGCCTCCAGTGTCTTTTCCAGGGGAGTCACCAGCACAAACCTTGCACGTTGAACTGGTTCTGAGAGCTGTCTTATCCATATCACCACTCCAGCATTTGGTTGTTTTTTCCCCCCAAGGATATTAAGAGAGTGACTTTAATTACTATGCTGAAAGTATAAATATTTATGTATTTGATAGCTCAGCTTTGAGATATTCAACCTAAGGGCACATTGTTTTGGATGCACACTGTTTGTCTGAGAGTAAGACATCCCTAAGGAATTCCCTAACTTGTGAATCGAGAATGAATATGAAAGAAAGTTTTATGGCTTAATCAAAACATGTTACAGTCAGTCTCCATGCTATCAGAATCTTTCTCCAGTATCCAAGGAGAGTAGAACTCTCGGCCCAGAGTTAAGGAATGGGAGCTTACTGGGAGCAATGGGAGACAAGTTGGTGGGCATAGTCCTTGGTCTTTCTCTACCCTTTGCCATTCTAAGTGAATTTCCTTTTCCTTTGTGAACATGTCACCCATCCAGTAAGTTGTCTACCTTGACAAGTATAAACCAGCTCTGCCTTCACAAACACAGGCAGGGCCACACCCAGGGCTGCCCTCCCCATGAGGGTGTCTATACATATGGGTACCCCAGCCCAGGTATCAGGCTCTATTCATATGCATGCCCCCTGGCCCTAGCTCTGCTTCAAGACAAGATATACTCATCGCAGTCTGGAGGCAGCCACAGTCCATCGTATTTACAGAATCCTCAAGTCCTGATACCTAGAATGAGCATCTAGAAAGGAAATGAAAGCTCTGATTGCAAAAGTCCTGTTGGACTTTTGGATTCCTCACCTAGAGAACACATGAATAAATTTGGTATTTACAAGAAGCATTGGAATATTGTCAGGAACATGGTGACTTGGACAATGGGCAGCCATGATCCAGCTCCAAAAAGTCAAGAGAAATTACAAATCTGTAATCCTATCAACTCTCCCTACTTATAAACATTGGCAATCAGTTTTAACAATTAGCATATGAAGTTTAGACCAACAATGTGACAATGGGAAGCAAGTCCCACCAATAGTAAATGCTTGAGTCCAAGGCTTCTCACCTGCGGGCACCATCAGCCATCCCCACTCTCCCAAACGAAGAGTCTCTTCCAGTAAAGTGTCACAATGATTTCTAGTGTCACCAGTGGGGTCAGAACAAAACCTAACCTAAAACTTAAGTCTTGACTTGAGGAAACGCTAAGTGACTAGATTTTGAGTGACCATGTGTGAATGAACCAAAAGGCACCAGGTACCCTGAGAAGTTGATAATTTTTTAGTGTACGTGGTGTTGAGTTGCCTGGCCTTTTGCTGTATTATCCTAACCCTGTTGATGGCTACACCACAGAGAGGTTTGGAAAGACAGCAGTCCTGCTCAAATGAAGAACCAGCTGAATAGGAAGCATTTAACATCAACTTGTCATAGACAGCAGTGCTACAAATACCAAGTGTCAGAGACCAGAGCAACCCTGGGGAGGCTTGGAAGTCCTCCCAGTTAACTGCCTGACTTAAAACATGCTCATTTTGCTGATGATAAAGGGATTTTTCTCAGGAGGTTGGAAAGGGATCCAAATGCAATAGGAAAGTGCCCTGATGGTGAATTTTACTCTTCCTGTTACCCAAGGATCACTCACATTGACTTAGTCAGTGATTCTCTCACTCTCGAGAACCCACAATCTAGCCACTCCCAGCCACTTACTCCAAAGACACATAATTTTTCTTAGTTGCCGATTTACTGACAACCACAGCTCTCAACTCCTCTAAAATATGACAGCCAGAAAATGAGATCTCTCTTGTCATTGCCTATGACATTTAGTTACTGATTTGGTCCAATAACTCTGGAGATTTTCAATTTAATGTAGCAGCATAATAATTGTTTGTTTTTCTTTTCCAAGACTATCTCTAATCACTTTATTTCCAACTTTCACAAGGACTGATAAAGGACATGTGCTTCACCAAGACAATAACAGCCTGTCTTTGAAGGATGCTTTCCAGCAAGGAGGGTATATTTTACAGACAGAAACACCCAATTCTAGTTCAAAGCAGGGAAAGGAAACAAAATTGACATTTTGTTCTTTTATGACCTCAGTACATTTCTCACAAATGAAAATTATCTTTTTATATTAAATACTAATTAACTATATCTTAAAGAAAAAGCTCAGATATATCAAATCATAATAGCACTAGCTTGGATCTCAGTTCTTCTGTAATTAAAAGAAATGAAGAAGGAAGTATGTAGCTCTTCTACAGCTCTCTTCTCCCTTTAGTATCCTTAACAAACTACCTTCAAAATATTAATTAATTTTATAAGGCCTTTGTATTACTAAGTGACTTAATTTGCAATTATTCTCTCAAAAATTTTAGTTGATTTAGCAATGCTTCCTTTTTTTGGGGGGGTGGTAGTTTTGAGACAAGATTTCTCTGTGTCGACCAGGCTGGCCTAGAACTCACAGAGATCCTCCTGCCTCTGCCTCCCATGTGCTGGGATTAAAGTTGTACATCACCAGCACCCAGCAATTTAATGCTACTTCTAATGTCTTGGTATATGAATAAATGCAGTTCTTTCGCTGGATATCAGTATAAGAGAACATCTCCTGGAAATCTCTTTCCCCCTTGATGTCCTTATTTCAGGATTGTTCATCAGCTCTCTATTAATATAACCAATACCTGAGATGAATTAGCTTAGAATGAGGAAAGGTTGTTTGGTGTCACAGTTTCAGACATGACCCATTTGCTCTGGGTCTGTGCCAACACACAGTGATAGAAGCACATGAAATAATCCCAAGTACATCACAGTTAGAGAACAAAGACAAAGATGGAGGGGGACTGGTGTCCCACAATCCCCTTCCAGGGTGCTCGCCAATGAACCAAAGGATCCAGCTAGGCTCCACCTCTCAAGGTTTCACTCCCTCCCAGGCATGCCACACTGTCAGTGCTGGAACTGCAGCTTGTGACCTTAACAGGCTTCACAGGTAACAGGCTTTCTGCAGATCATTTTTACCCAGTATTCTAAATAAGAGTCAGTATCTACAGGCCCCACAAGAAATCAGGAACTGTGGTCATTCTCTTTTATTATTCCATTGTACAACATTTTTTGATTCTGTGGTGAATGTTAGGAAGGAAATGGAACAGTCCTGTTTTTCACTACAACACTCCAAGAACCAAATCAGCTCCTAGTATCCCACTCATTGCCAGCACCTAGGTATGAAGTTAAAATGACAAACCCTTCCTGGATGGCAGACCAACTTTCATTTCGAAAACAAGCTTCTTGGCACTAGAGGGAGATGGCTCAGTTGCTAAGCGCACTAGTTGCTCTTCCAGAGGACCTGGGTTCAATTCCCAGCACCCATATGGCAGCTTACAACCATATGCTACTCCAGTTCCAGGGGTCCAATACCCTCTTCTGACCTCCATGGACACCGAGCATGTACACAATGCACATACATACATGCAGGTAAAACACCCCCACACATAAACTAATAATTAAAACCATAAACTAGCTTCTCTTAGCTCCAAATTTCCTATCATATTGCCACATAATTATGCTTGTTTTTGGAAGCATTAGTTAGGTTTATCTAATTAATAATGAAGTGTATTTTGTAATACGGGATTCATATGAACAAGACTTCAAACACTCTGTTGAGATTCAACATTCACAGTTTGTCAACCTGATACTGGATTTGATCCAGAGAGTACAAACTAATTTTCAATGAAAATCTCAATTGGTTTGCTTATTCTTTTAAACTGCCTTATTGAATATAGCTGATGACTGTTACATAAAATAATAAGCAGGCCACTTTTGTTTAAAAAAAAAAAGAGGTCTATTTCCCACCTGTTTGGTGTGACTCGACACTTGTAGGCTAGCAAACTTCCAGAAGATAGAACTGTGGCTGTTTATTGATTTTTCAAAACAGGGTTTCTCTGTGTAGCCCTGGCTGTCCTGGAACTCACTCTGTAGACCAGGCCAGCCTCAAACTCATAGAGATCCACCTGCCTCTGCCTCCCAAGTGCTGGGATTAAAGCTGTGCACCACCACCGCTGCCTGGCTGAACTGTGGCTCTTTAAAACAAAAACATACGTCGGCCCCCTTTATGCAACCATCCCGTGTTGCTGGCCCCACTTGCAGGTACAGCAGCCTTTTGCAACGATCAGGAAACGTGATCCCGATTCCTACAACTCATTTTCCCCAGGCCTACTGTGGGGGAAATAAACAGACACTTCATGGGTGGGTCCTGAAGATGGGTACTTTTCTGTTTGTTCTTTTTAACCTGTGTGTCTGTATGTGAAAGTACACAAATATCTGGGTGTGATGCAGGAGTGCTTGGCACACATTTGTAGGGTGAAGAGGCCAGGCTTAGGCTTGTCCTTGCCTTCCACATTGTTTGAGGCAGGGTCTCTTTGTTGCTTGCTGTTGTCCACTCCAGGTGGCCAGAGAGCTTCTGTTCCCCATTGCCTGGTAGGAGCACTGACCCCACAAACATGCTCTAGTGTCTGCCTTTATACGGGTTCTGGGGGTTCAACTCAGGTCCTCACGATTGCACAGCAAATATCTCACCCACTTAACCATCTCCCCAGCCCTTTTATAAATCCTCTCAGTGAGTCGTATGCCCGTGATGAGTTAGGGTTCTGTCCACTTGTTTTCCGATCATCTTTAGTCGGTTACTATGCAACCAAGAGGCTAATATACAAAAGTTGTCATTGTCTCCAGGATTTGCAGTCATAACAAGAGGGGAAAAAGGCGAGTACCAACCTCAGAGGAGGCTGATTGAGAGTTGAAAGGTTGGGGGAGGCTGATGGGGGGAGGCTGATGGGGTGGGCAGGACTCATGGGGTGGGAAGAGGCTAATGGTGGGGGTCGCCCATGCTTTGGAAAAGGCTAACAATGGATGAAGCCCTGGTGGACTAGAGATCTGCAGCCCTTCAAATACTCTGCATATCTAGAGGGAAGATCAACTCTTCATGCCTGCTCCTCCTGAGGAATTCAGTAAGGCCTTTCCCAAACCACTGAGTTCCTGTGTACCATGATCTGTATTTCAGGGGAGCCCTGCCCAGAGGATGGGAGGAGTCCTGGCTCCGTATCAACCCACCACAGCTCTCCGCGCAGTGACTATGCCACCTACGCCAACAGCAACCACGCCGCCCCCAGTAGCAGCGCCTCTCCGCCTGAAGGCTTTGCCTCACACAGCCTGCAGACCAGTGACGTGGTCATTCACCGCAAGGAGAACGAAGGATTCGGCTTCGTCATCATCAGCTCCCTCAACAGGCCTGAGTCTGGAGCCACCATAAGTAAGTGACTGGCTTGTCTATGTTCAGATAAGGGGTCTTATAGTTGTTTGTTCTAATGATAGTAATAACAGAAGAAGAGATCAGAGAAAGGCTATGGATATACTACGTGGCCTAGATGTCCCAGGCTATGAGCACAAAGAAACATAAGCCACCCTTAACACTGCTAGGTTAATGTCACTCACCTTAGGTTCAAGAAGAGTGCAAGTCTACAGCAAAAGGTCCCTAAACACTCAGAGCTGTAAAAGCTGTTAGTTTATTTGTAGGTAAAATAAAATAAAGAAGAGTGATGTGTGGTAGTATGGTTGTGAGAGGAGGCTTGTACCATGTTCACGCCCTGGTGAGGGACTGCCTCTTCTGAGAGCGGCTCCCTGGCATCAGCCCGGGGTGTAAAGGGCCAAGGGGGAAATTTTCAGACAGAAAGCTTCTGATGAGAAGGAGCTCAGGATCAAGAAATCCCGGGGTGACAGTACTGGAAGTAAGCCAGAGAGAATAGCACAGGTTGTCACTTGGAAGTGGGCAGAATCAGGAGGTGCAGGCTTCCTATGCACTGGGAGCGAGTGATACTGCATTCTCAGTTCATGGGCACTAGTAGAAGGTCTTGAACAATGGCCTGCCTTTCTTCTGAAAGACGCTTTTGTAAAATTAAGTGGAGGTGAGGAGAAAGCAAAACTGTAAACATAAGACAGTTGGGAGGCTTTTTTAAAACAACCCCTGGGACAGAGATTCTAGGGTCCTCCTCCAGGGTAGCAGCTGTAAGCAGGAGGGCAGTAGATGGATTAAATTCAGTGGATTCTACAATATCAGTGTTCTGTGAATCTATACAACGGGTGACAGAGGTCATATTCCTCTTCAGCACCATCATTGTAGATGGTCTCCTTGGTCCCCTCCCCCTCTGCAGCAGTACTCCAGTGCTTAGCCCACAACCACCAAACAGAAGACAGTTGTGAGGACAAGAAAACATATCGTTTTTCATGGTCAAGTGCTTTGGCCTGAAGTTCTATGGATGTAATTTCATCTGCATGTAGAAGTATTCAAATAATAATAGTTTGTCCATGCTGTATTCCTAAAATTCTTATGAATTGTGGTTTCCAGTTCATGTGAGGTAGAAAGGCATGTCAAGCAATGCTGAAAAATGAAATTATCAGGAATTAATAAGAGCTCCTATGGTTGGGTTAATGTTATCAACAGCCCACCAGAAGCATGTGGGTAGGTAGGGCTGCCTGTTTAGCATGAGCCTTAACAAATTCAAGAGAGAAAACTACAGAAGTGTTAAACCTCAGCCAATATTGCAGAGGCCAAATTATATACGTCTGAAAATACAGTTTCATTTCTCTTTTTCTTCCTGATAAGCTGAAGGAATAAATCCGATCTTTAAGTGTAAACTCAAAGCAGGATTCTGTCAGTACGATGGATTCACAAAGATTAAAAGGACACAAGACTGAAGATTTTCATGAATTATATAAACATCCTCCCAATAACTTACACTTGGGGAAATGTTCACAGGGAGCTTTTGCAGCTATCTCAAGTCATTCAGATTGTTTATTGGGGCAGAATACCTAGAGGACTGGAAGAAAAATAAAAAGTATACTGCCATCATGAAAATGTTAAGCATGTGTTTTAGATCTCAACTGTATTTAAAGCGTGGCAGCTTTCTTTCTAAATGTGTAAGGAAGTGTGTGCATGTGCTTTCTCTATTGCAAATAAGGTCCATGCATAAATAGGTCTAGGAAAACAACAGGTGCTGATGCTTAAAATTAATATGAGCATTTTTCTGACTAGAGAGTACCTAAAAAAATAATTCTAAACACTCTCAAACTGGTATGATTTTGCATCACCCTTGAGTATAGAAATAGAGTCTATTAGTACATGAAGCTTCCTGGTTGTTTCCTTTCATCTATTTCTTTCTTTTCAATTTAAGGATATTTAAGGATTTCAAAACACAGATTGCCCCAGGCTCTGTGGCAAAGGCAGCCATTACGCTGATGGCATGTTGCAGTCATAGTATGTAATTTGCAGCATGCACCTAAAAGGTTCCTGGAGCCGATGCTCTTCTATACTTAACCTCTATAATAATTTTGATCCCTGTTTTCAGAGAGAAATGCTAAGTGCCTTGTGAGTGATAAAGAGTCATCCTTGGGCTCTTTGTATCATATCCATTGCCAGTGTATCAAAGGGTCTGAGATTTTGTGATGCCATCAGATACCTTGGGGTCACGGTCATTTCCCCATTTCCTGGGCTTGTGATAATTTTCTTTTCCTGCCTTACCACAGCCCAAAAAGCATTAACAGTTCTTTGTGTTGTTTGTTTCCTGTGGCTACTGAAGGCTTTTCATTGGTAGACAAGGACCACTTTGCATTTGATAGGCGGATCATTACATGCAGGCAAGCCAGTGGCAAGGGGCTGCAACCATACATTTGATGAGAAACCTGGCTCTGTCATTAACCAGCCATGTGACCTTAAGGAAGTCATATGGCTTCGGTCTCCTTAATTATAAAGGAACACTTGCTTTCCTCTCTTTGTCATGGGTTACAACGGATGGTACAGGAACTCCTACAGCACTGACTTCAAGTGAACTGTGAATGTGTTGTTGCTGCTGTGTGGACCACTGTTCTTCTAGGAATACCTTTCTACTGCACCAGCTCACTCTTCTTTAGCAACACAGAGTTCACACTGGCTGCCAGGCAGCCATTACTAGAGTTACCCACTCTCCTAGGGCAGCTGAATCTGGGCAGTATGTTGGAGGGCCAGCGTATTTCTCCCATGTGCCAATCTGAGACCAACACAGTCTTTCAGCCACCCAGCCACCTACAGCCTGTGTCTGCAGTAGGGCAGTAAAAGCTGTGGTGCCCTAACCAGTGCCACTGAAGGAATCTGTAGGACCTTTAGGCAAGAATTCCAGGTTCCTCTGCCACAATTTACCAGCCAGTAAACTACAGAGCCATGGAAAATATCAAGCTTCAGACTCCAAGCCATGCCTTCTAAAATCTCTCTGTAAACATTATGTCACATTATGTCATTGAATATCATCACAGCAGAGAAGAAAGACAAAGAAGCCAAATGTAATTTTCCATTCCCTGGGGACAGAGAAACCCCCTCCAAAGCTTCTTCAGCCAAGAAAACATTGCCAGGGACATGGGATATTCAACTAGTTGGAAAATTGTAATATGAGGTTCCTGGCTTGCTGATTGCCTGACATTTAGTAGTGCTCTATACCAAAACGTTGTATATTCTCTTTAAAATATTGGTTCCCAAAACATAAGAAAGGAATGTTCTTTGTATGAAGTAGTGAATTCAGAGACACATTTGTTCCCTTCAAGACTGGTCCCCAGGAGACCAACCATTGTTTGGAACTGGACAGATATTAGAAGCTTTTCATCTGTAGTACAGGCATCCCCTTCTTGATTTAAAGTGAAATTAGGTAGCTGCCTGAGCATCTGTGTGCCATTAGCAAAAGTATTAACTTTTCAGGCCTTAAAATCTGGCCCAAGAGGAAACAGTGTGGGTCTTTGACCAGAACTCTGGGTCGGAATGAACTAACAGGCAATTACAGTTCAAATTATTAAGAAGAATTTTAAAGATCTATATACATACAAATGTGTTAGCTTCCTGTTACTATGATGAAATATCCTTAGAAAATCAAAAATTAAAAAAAAAATTAGAGAATTTGTTCTGCTCACAGTTTCAGAGGTTTTAGCCCATGGCAATTGGTTCCATTATTTTGGAGCATGGGATGAGACAGAACATTTGTGGCAGAAGCACGTGATGAGAGAAGTTGTTGGTAGTTGGGAAGTAAAATTAAAAGGGGGTAGGGACCCCCAAACATACCTTCAAGGGCACACCCCCAATGGCCTACCTTCCTTCTAATTGACTCAAACTCTTTTTTTTTATTTGTGTATTTTATGTACAATGGCTGTTTTGTCTGCATGCAGGTCTGCACACCAGAAGGCGGTATCAGATCCCATGGGGCTACAGTTACAGATGGTTGTGAGCCACCATGGGGGTGCTGGGAATTGAACTCAAGACTCTGGAAGAGCAGCCAGCGCTTTTAACCACTGAGCCATCTCTCTAACCCCTAGACCCCAACTCTTAAAGCACCTCCCAATAGCACTGTAGGCTGCCATGCAGGCCTTTAGCATATGGGCCTTTAGGGGACATTTAATATCAAAACCAAACGGCAAAGATGTTCTTTGTCATATTATTAATAAACATGGGAAAATGAAAATAAGGTTAAAAGCCTCTTTCTTACTTTTAACCTTTATTTTTATTTTATGTGTGTAGGTGTCTTCCTTGCTTGTATGTCTGTACACTGTGTGTGTGTATGTCTGTGTGCTGTGTACATGTATGTCTGTCCAATGTGTGCACTGTGTACAGAGGCCAGAGGAGGGTGTTACATAACTCTCCGGAGTTCCAGGTCATTGTGAGCTCCCATATGGGTGCTGGGAATCAAACCTGAGTGTAGCATGAATCCTAATTGGTCTTAATAAAAACCTGGAGCCATGTATTGGGGTAAATGCTAAAAGATCAGAGAGACAAAAAAATAAGCCACAGCCACCTCTCACCTCACCAACTCCTCAGCCAAAAGGACTGAGCTCCTGTCTCCTCCCACTTTATATTCCTTTCTCTGCCCAGCCATATCACTTCCTGTCTCAACCTTCCTAGTGCTGGGATTAAAGATGTGTGATCCCAAGTACTGGGAGCAAAGGCATGAGATCCCAAGTGCTGGGATTAAAGGTGTGTGCCACCACTGTCTGGCCTCTGTGGCTATCTAGTGGCTGGCTTTGCCCTCTGATCTTCAGGTAAGCTTTATTTGTTAGCACATATACAAGATATCACCACATTTCCCCATTTTGTCTAAAATAAAAAAGATTATATAACTAATATAAGAAAAACTATATACAATAAGTATAATAACTATATACAAATATATACAGTAAAGAATTACATTAACAATGTCCAGTCCATTAACATTTGACAAATTCAGAGAAAATACCCCATTATTT